AAAAAAAAAAAAAAAAAAAGCTCATAACCATCACCATAACAACTCTACTAAAATAACACCAAAACTCAAGCAACTAAAAAAAACAAATGATAAAACCCTTTCCCTTTTATTTCCAGATTCATTACCTGGAAAAATTACATATAACCCGACCATGGCGGGTATGCCGGAGGGTATTCCGGCCAGCTGCCTTCCCCTCCCGGCATACCCATTTGCTCCGGCTCACCCGTCGGCTGCAAACCCTCCCCAAAATTACCATACTGCCCCTCGAGGCCGCCTCCCGCTGGCGGCGGCGCCGCCACCACGCGTGCCTCCGGCGGAGGGCGTTGGCCGGCGGCGGCGGCGCCCCGCCGGTTGGCCTTGCGGGTGGTGCCGCCAACCGGGACATTGCGGAGGGTGCCGCCCTTTGTCCAGTACCTCCGGCAAGCCCTGCAATAGTGGCGCGGCTGAGAGAGGTTGTAATTGTTGTAGTAGCAAAACTTTGTGTCCGCCGAGTCGCACCGCGGGCACCTCAGGTGCTCCTCCTCCGGCAGCTGCACATACCCATTGATCGGAGTGTACAAAGTCTGGTTTTGCATTCTTTTTTTTTTTTTTTTGTGATCAAGATTGGATTTTTACAGAGGTTTTTGTGAAAAAGATTAGATTTTTAGCCTTTGGGAAGCTTGGAAGTTGAAGGGTTTTGTGTAACTTGTTAAAAGGAGGGATGGGTTGTTTGAGAATGCAATAGGGAGAGGCTATTTATAAAGGGATGGATATAGTTTTTAAATTAGGAAATTAATAAAAAAAAAAGAAGCAAGTGTAAGAACAAGAAAGAGAGATGTAATAAATGATCTGAAATTCAAGCTTTTTAAGAAAGAGAGATGTAATAAATGATCTGAAATTTAAGCTTTTCAATTATTTTGAGTGTTTGATTTGAGTGAACCCTGCAAATAAGCTGTGAAATCAAAGCTCAGAGCTCAATATAACATTAGTATATAATATCTTTTTCTACAGCCTATGAGCAGGAACTAATTATTGAAAAAAAATGTTATATGTACCTAGTAAATGTGCATAGAAGTATACATAACATCGTGGAGTGCTCATGGATGCATTCTTTACCCTGGCGATATTTTTTTCCGCCTCCGCACCCTCATCGGATGGACTAGATGAGATACCCTTCATTCAGATTTGTATAGCCAGTCCTACCATTTGGCGAATCTGCCACACTGTGATGCTAACTTTTTCGCCGGGACTTTCCCTGGACTAGGATCTGGTATGTTTGTATTTTTCGCTGCAGTTGTCAGTTTTTCTTTGTATATTTTCTTGCTTTTGGTTTTTCATTTGACTTGATGTATATCAGACACTGGACTTGTAGTCTTGTGACTTTTCAGCCTATTTAAGGCCTTTTTTATATACAGGTTGGGGGTTCGACCTTAACCCCCCACCCTTTTGGGTGTTGTTTGTTAAAAAAAAAAAACTCACATGGAGTGGAGTCCACTTTTTTTTTTTTTTTGTTTTTATTAGGTCCCAATCAATTTGAGTGTAATGTACACCCATATGTACAATATTATGTACCTATAACATTTCTCTTTTTGAAATGAGTTATTTTGTAGAATCTAACCAAGGTTAAACCTTGGTAGGGTTAAACATGAAAGATGTAGAACAAAATAAGCCTCTCATAAGCTTTGATCATCCGTTCATAAAACTTATTTAGTTAACAAGTCAGCTCATTAAGTCTCCTATCGTTTGGAAAAAAAAAAGGCTTTACAATAATTTTTTTTATGTAGTTTTTTGAACTTCGGTTAGTTTGTAACTCTATGTGACATAATTTTTTGCTATGGAGTCATCGGATGACTCGTCTTATGGAATCATTTATAGTTATTCACAATGGTGTATCTATTGCTCCATATAATTTCTCCTATGAAACAATTAAGAGTGGGTTAAATGTTAAATTGATAGTTCCATTAATAATTAGATAAGATTCTTGCTCTATGAATATAAGCATATCTTTTAGGTTTTTAATTAGTAGAGGCAGAATAGTTTATGACAAGGGGGGGGCTCCTAATTAATGCTTAACCATGTGTAATTAAGAGAGTGCGTCCAAAAATGGGCTTTTCTATTTAAATTAAGAAGGTTCAAAGTGGTTTCTATTTAAGCTTTACATTAGAGTAAAAAATATAGATTTGATACCGTGCATATCCCGTTTGTTGCGCATGTCAGTCCTAACTTTTGAGTCTTATTATTCTAATTTTTTTTTGGTTTGATAAATAACAGCCTTTTCAAACTTTTTGAGTGTGAATATTTTAGAGAAATTGCATGTATAGCTTGATCGAAACTTTTTATTTTTTATTTAAGTACCATTAATTTTATATATCTTGATCACGCTAACTTTAGCCTGTCAGTCGTATTTTGTCATTTTTTTTTTTTACCAAAAGAAAAGTCAAAGTTGTACGCTTTGTTTTTATGAAAATATATATATATATATGGATTGGTTCTAATGGATCCACATTCTTAAAGTGAGGACGTGGGGCTCATTTCTAATCACAAGATTTAGTACATAATGTGTGGCTAAGATTTAATCTTTTCTTTTTATTTTTTTAATTATTTAAATATTATTTTGACCCGTTGACTCCAGCGTTGACCGTTGACTTCCGGCGTTGACCGTTGACTCCGACGTTGACTTCCGGTGAAAATCCGTTGACTTCCGGCGAAAATCCGTTGACTTCCGGCGTTGACCGTTGACTTTCGGCGTTGACCGTTGACAACTAAACTTGCAATTAAATATAAATAACCTAGCATGCTAGGTTAATTGTCTGATGGTGCTATGTTAGTTGTATGATTATGCTAGGTTAGTTGTATGATTGTGCTAGTTTAGTTATATATCTCTGCTAGGTTAGTTTTATCATGTTGCAATGTTAGTTGTATGGTGTTGCTATGTTAGCTTTATGTTGGTGCTATGTTAGTTATATATCTCTGCTAGGTTAGTCTTATCATGTTGCAATATTAGTTGTATGGTGTTGCTATGTTAGCTTTATGTTGGTGCTAGGTTAGTTTTATCATGTTGCAATGTTAGTTGTATTGTGTTGCTATGATAGCTTTATGTTGGTGCTAGGTTAGTTATATATCTCTGCTAGATTAGTTTTATTATGTTGCAATGTTAGTTGTATGGTGTTGCTATGTTATCTGTCTGTTTGTGCTAGGTTAGTTATATATCTCTGCTCGGTTAGTTTTATCATGTTGCAATATTAGTTGTATGGTGTTGCTATGTTAGCTTTATGTTGGTGCTATAGGTTAGTTTTATATATATCTGCTAGGTTAGTTTTATCATGTTGATATGTTAGTTGTATGGTGTTGCTATGTTAGCTGTCTGTTGGTGCTAGTTTAGTTATATATCTCTGCTAGGTTAGTCTTATCATGTTGCAATGTTAGTTGTATGGTGTTGGTGCTAGGTTAGTTATATATCTCTGCTAGGTTAGTTGTCTGTTGGTGCTAGGTTAGTAGTGTCTTGTTGCTAGGTTAGTTATATATTTCTGCTAGGGTAGTTGTCTGATGGTGCTAGTTTAGGTCTTTGTTCTTGCTAGGTTAGTTATATTCTGTTGCTAGGATAGTTATATATCTCTGCTGGGTTAGTTTTATCAATTTGCAAAACTTTGAAAGACCATAACTTTGCGTAGAAAGCTCCGTTTTGGATGATTTTTTTTTTATTTGGGGTAGCTCGACGAGATCTACGCAGCTGCAAACTGCCGAAGGTGGTTTGGCCGCCCGAATTTTCAAAAAAAATGCCTTTTTCTTGCTTTAATTTCATTTTTAAGAAAAAAATACATTTTTTTTTTGTATTTTTTAACCTCTATATCTCCCCAATCAAGACTCATTTCTGAAGTTTTTTTATTCATAACAATGCTCTCAACTTCTATTTTATGTACCAATTGGAAAAAATTAGAAAATGCATAGTTTCTGCAGTTGCTAGGTTAGTTGTCTGATGCTGCTAGGTTAGTTGTCTGATTGTGCTAGGTTAGTTGTCTGATTGTGCTAGGTTAGTGTCCGCATTTTAAAAGCTGACCTCATTTTAAGAGCTGGCATCATTTGATCTGCCCCATATATATATACATATATATATATTGTAAAAAAAACTCCAAATTAGTTCACAATACAACACGATTTATACAAAACTTAAAAACTCACACGAGAGAATACACAAACTCCACACATGGAAAATACTGAAGATCAACAAACCGCCAATGCAACCAACCACAAACTCATTAATGGAGAAAACAAACCTTGCAATGGAAGCGTGGAACCAAACCTTGCTAGCACGAACAATATGGAATATTCAAGCCAAGAAAGACACTTTATGGTACCGTTGGGTGCATCACGTTTACCTAAAGCAAAAATTCATATGGCAATGGACCATCCACAAGAGCGACTCCCCAGTTTTCAAAAACCTCTATGACATCCGGAACCTAATTGTTGGAAGTTAGGTAGCACGCAAGCCGCCGAGGACGCCCTTAGCCTTTGGGAATCCAAATCTCACTCCAAGGGGCCCTCATGCATATACGAATTCTTCCGACCCTAAGGCACCCCAGTTCATTGGAAGGGTGTGGTATGGGGGCCCGCCAATACCCCCAAATACGCCTTCATCCTTTGTCTTGCAACGCTTGGGAGGCTCCGGACCAAAGATAGACTCAAATTTCTTGATATAGACCTTACTTGTGCCTTTTGTGGGGAAGGTTCCGAGTCAAAAGGATCATCTCTTTTTTCGCTTGCCCCCTTTCGGCTCAAGTTTGGCTAGGCATCCGGCAATGGCTAGGATTGAGGAGACAACTCTCTACACTAAAGAGTGCATTGAAGTGGATTAAGAAAGAATCCCAAGGCTCCGGTTGGAGAACAAAAGCAATAAAAGCGGGGCTCGCATCCACGGTGTACTTCCTGTGGAATGCTCGGAATAGAAAGATTTTTGAGAATAAGGTACAATCTCCAGAGCTCATTATCCGAAAAATTCAAACCCACGTCTACCGGAGTATTTTTGCTTTGTACCCGAATGTCCTTGCCGACATGGAGAGAAAAGCCCTCGGAAATGGCTTCCGCATCTGACGACGTTTTGATTTTCGATTCTACTTTAGTTTGAGTTGAGCAACCGAGCTGTGGTTTGTCGCTCATCATTTTGATTAGCGAGTGAGGGACCGGAATGTGGTTACCCACTTTGTTTTTGTGTGCCATGAGACGGTCGATGTAAAATCAGTTTTGATTTATAAAATTTATTTACCGATTAAAAGAAAAAAAAACACCAACATACACAGAAACCTATTAAAAACAAAACAAATTAAGCTCACATGAAGCCGACAACAAATCTACCCATAAAACTAAGACCTCGACCAAGAGCGGAACCCGAAACTCCAACCAGTTAGTATGCCATATTTTTTACCTTATTTGTAGTAATTGCTTTAATTAGGCTAGTTTCCTTGTAAGCCCTCAACTCCTTATTGTGAATATATATGGCTCTAAGCCCCAATATTTCATCACAATTGTAATCAATCAGTACCCAATATTTCTCTTGTTATGGTATCAGAAAAGGTTATGTATCGGTTAAAAAAAAAATCAA